ATCTCAAAATTATCTAAGTTCCAATCTTACACATATTAGTAAGTACCAATTCTCTAAATTCCAATTCCACTACATTATAGCGCATTAAAAATATAACCACCTCTAATATAAACAAATTCCTTCTACTCCTAACAAATTAAAAAATAAACACTACCATTTTTCTATTAATGTCTTATGTAACTAATAATTAAAGTTTACAAAATTTCAACTTCTAAGGCACCAAACTAAAAAAAATTATCACATTATCACAATACAAACACAATACTTCAAACCAGAACATCAACTTAATAAAACAAACCAAAAACACATTATCACATTATCACAATATTATACTTCAAACTAAAACACCAACCTACAACAACACAAGATTACTTCAAGATTAATTTTTAAAAACAATGTTAAATCTTACTTAAGATTTAAGAGGAAGGAAGCAAGTTAGATGAAGAAGATGGACTTCTAAAAACCAGTTCGTGAAGGCCTCTGGAGGATTGAGATTACTTGAATGAGAGAGATTACTTAAGCAATTGAACGAGAGAAAGAAATTGTTCTCCTGGAATGCGAAAATATCAATTGGTTAGGGTAAACAAGAACAATGACATTAGTTTCTTTGACATTAGTTTGAAGAAACTGTTGAATGAAGAGTATAAAAATACACAAGTTTCCTTGACATCCATCACAAATGACTTACTTAGTGAAGCATCAAAAGATAGTGATACCTTAAATCTTGAGCGCTTTAGCTTGTTTGTTGTTGAAAACAATTGAAATGGATAGTGAAGAACACTGTAAAGATCATTTTCATTAAAGAAACATTTGCACAGAATAAACATGTCATGATTAGGAATATTCAGCATTCAACAAGTAAAGAGGAATTATTTATGGTTAGGAAATTAGTTCAAAAATTAAATTACGTCAACGGTTAGAAGAAATTCAAGAATTATGACATTTTCCACTTGCCTCAAGTTTTTATGTATCAAAAGAGGTTGGTAAAGTGTGTTGAGCCAAATGGAAGATGTTACACCTCATGGATAAACAAATGTTAGTATGAGTGTATGCACGTTCACACAATTACAATATTACATGTTATGGAAATATTAAAGTAAGTGATCAAAACTAGAATTTAACACTAAGTATTAGTAACTAAGACTTGAATATTATTACTAGAAATTAGTAAACATGATTGTGCACATTGAGGTGAATAGCATAGAACAAACACAACAGTAGTTAGTAATCACGATTCTGGAAAATTAGCATTTAGGCACAACACAATTAAGCTCAAGATTCATCCAATTCCGAATCTATCTATATTTATTCACAATATCAAGAATCTAACATCAACACAAAGAATTGCAATTGATTCTATGTCAATAGATTAGCACAATATCAAGAATTAGTTCTTATGTCAAGAATTAGCAATTCAATTCTATGAGGAATTTCTACGTACACCTAATGTGCAAATGTTATGTCTACAAATCTATGTTAAAATCTACATCACAAATTCACATAAACATTATCACAAACACATAATATGTACTAGAATATTACAAATTCTATGTCAAGAATTCTAGATCTAAACTAATTTACTTCATCAATTCATGCATGCACAATTCACATAAACAAAATCAAATTACTCAAGTATTCAACAAAACTATGAAAATCAAGTAATGTTACCTAAGATAATTTGTAGAAAATTGGAAGTTGGATGTTGTTGATGATGATAACTGAGATTGACGCAAAGCTTTTCACTTCTAAGATACCGGAAATGGTGGCATAGCTAGAGGAAGATAACAGGGAACCACGTTTGGACTTGACAAAGAGCTTTGAAGTAGGAGCGACGGAGATGGCTGAGGAAGATAAGAAAGGGATGTTGGAGGTTGAGATTGAAGTACGACAAGGGTGTTAGCAGTGAGAGTTTGTTGAGTTATTGACAGCAAGTGACGGTGAGGAACAAATGGAAATAGAAGAAGAATGGCGGCAGCAGTGAAGTAACGGTTGGATGAATCTGAGATTACTGGAGGTCGCGGATGGGGTTTTACGGATGGAGATGAGGCAGAAGTGAAGGTTATGGAAGTTCGTAACAGTGAGGTTTGGACTTTGGAGTGTGAAGGTTGATGTGAGAAGACGGTGATGTATGGGTTATGGGTGGATTATGAAACGCGTTAGTATAATTTTGTTTTTAAAAATTTTAATTTTAAAAAGGCTATGAAAGCGCTTTTGAAAAGCGCCTTAGTAGATGTAGCTATACCAGCGCTTTTAAGGGTAAAGCGCTCTTGTACCCCACCCCCTACCAGAGCGCTTTTGAAAAGCGCTCTCATACCCCCCCTTACCAAAGCGCTTTTCAAAAGCGCTCTCATACCCCCCCTTACCACAGCGCTTTTCAAAAGCGCTCTCATACCCCCCCTTACCAGAGCGCTTTTTAAAAGCGCTTTCATACCCCCCCCACTATAAGAGCGCTTTTTTAGCGTGTTTTTTAATTTTGTCTTTAGCGAAGCCTATGCCAGCGCTTTTCCTAAAAGCGCTTTCGTAGGGGTGCTGCTAAAAGCCAAATTTGGTATAGTGCCCCCACTAAGTGCAAACCATGAAAATAACGATTAGAGCCTGGGCAAATATAAAAAGGGTGCGAGGTGTGGATTGATTTCGTCTTGAGGTCACGAATCCATTGGCATAGGTTTGGTGGCCTGATTTTTCCAGATGAAGAAACCCCTAAATTTGGAGCTCTGAAACCCTAGCAAACGTTAATGGCAGATTTTGATATAGGCATTATTAGTTCAATTAAATGGTACCATTAGCTTCAGAACATCATTGTTAGTAAGAATCAACCATTAAAACTCATGAACAATGCTTGAAAATTAAAACACGATAATGGAAAAGTTCATGAAAAGTGCAATACTGTTCTACCAATTCTTGAGGTCTGGAGATGTGTTCTTGATTGCAACACATTCCTGGATGTCTTGGCAATGTTTTGGAATGCTTTTCAAGCCTTGAATCGTCCTGTAACTAGGATTTCAGTGTTCAAGTTTTCAATGAAAAATTGCAAATTGGTAGGCAGCTTGTATGCAGTATTTCGTGTGTGTTAGGATTAGGTTATGTTATGCATATGTAAGTGAAGCTTTCTAGGTCAAAAACCAAGCCCATAGTCCATTGAATCAATGTTTTGAATATTTGATTTTCCATATCTTTTTTTTCAATCTTTTTCATGCCAATCATTGCCAATTGTAGAAGATATTGCCTTGTTAATTGATGCACGAAATATTTAGCTCATAATGAGTGAACTTGCTGCACAAAAAGATTTGATAAGTGTTATTTGGTATTTTTTCTTATATTTAAATTTAATTAAATGAATTAATGATAATAAAAATTCAAATAATTAATCAAAAATAAGAAAATAACTCCCTTTGAGCTTAATGGGTCGTTCATAGCCTTTGGGTAATGATTCATGGAAGGATTTGTGGCCCATTAGCATTTTTGAACCCTTTTGTGCAAAGTTGACTTTTCAAAATTCCCAAAAATTTCCCAACTTCCACAAGGCATATCTTGCTCAATTTTGAAGCTATGATCATGTTCTTGGACATTTTGGAAAGGTCTTGAAATCCTCTAACCAATGTCTTTGGTCCCATGTCATTTTCATTTACCAATCTCAAGTTATGGTCTTTGACTTAAAGTTCCTTTTTGTTGACTTTTGAAAATGACCTATAATGTTGAAATTGATAACTTTTGTGAGAGCATTTCTTGGACTTGAAGTGTGAAGATGAGTTGTAGGAAATGTCATTCTATTCAAAATGAGCTTTGGATGGGATTTTTCTGATAAACCATGAGGAATTTATGCCCTGGTCAATTTGCAATTGACTTTTCAGCTGTCCAAAAATAGAAAATTTTGCATCTTGAGACTTTTTGAGCCATACTTTGAGAATCATGATCAAGAATTGATCAAATGATGTTTGTGGCTTAAAAATAAGATGTTGACCAAAAATTTTGACTTTTGACTGTCAAATGACCATTTTTCCCCTGCAGTTGACTGTGAAGCAATTAGGGTTTTTGACTGTGCAACTTGATGTTGTGAGTCTTGAAACTTGGCATATGGATGCTTGACAATGTTTATAGGCAGGTGGGACTTGATTGGACCCTTGGAAACCTCAACTTCTTTGCAAGAACCAAAACTCTAATTTTGACTGTGTTAGGAGGCAATTGGACTGTGCAACCCTTGAGTGATTTTGAATCATCTGGAGATTGATCTTTGGCAAATCTTGAAGAACATGGGAGGGCAAATTTTGGGGTACAACAGGTAGCGACTCTCATTTTTAAACCTGTTACAACTCCTTGCTTGATACTTGGAGAAACTCATAAATAATTTTAAGAGTATCTCACACCTTCTTGGCAGTCTCATGAGTAAAAACATAGTAAACTACTTTTGAACTTAAAACATTTATCAAAAGATGTTTAGATTTAAAACCAAGTTTTACTTTTCTCAAATCTTATTTGGTCCAATCAAAATCATGTTTACTAAAGGGGAAGGTAAAATTAAACCAACCATTATTTAAAATATCACATATTTCAAAATCATTAGCTTTGATAAAAGTTTCAATCTTGTTTTCCATAAGTCAAACCTATCACCATAAAATGGTGGAGGTGTAATCATGAAAATAATCTTGTTAAAAATGAAAGTGTTTTTAGCCATCACCATCCTCATGAGACAATTATTCTTTAAAAAAGAGTTATGCTCTGATACCACTTGTTGCACACGAGACTCCAAACACAAGAGGGGGTGAATTGTGTGGGATTGAAAATCCATTTTCAAAACAAAACATTTAATCTAAAAACAATTTTAAAACTCTTATGTAAAATGAATAGAGTAAAAGTAGCGAAAATAATAGAATGGAATCGTGAAGGATATAAATTACTGGAAATTAAAAAGTTAAGGGATGAGAGAAAACACTAAAATTATAGAGGTTTGTTCTTAATGAAGCGACCTACTCCTCTCCCCAAGAATCCCTCCTTGAGATTTTCTACTGTCTTGGAATTCTATTATCCAAGATGCGAGTGTGCAAATGGTTCCTCTGTAGCAACTGGAAGAGAGCATCTTCTTCATACCTTTCCTTCCTCATAGGTTGGCGAACTTCGAGAGGAGTGTGGCTATCCCTTCTTCCTTTAGGATCAGGGGAAGGAGTATGATTCTTGTGGCATTGGCAAAACTGCATCTTGGACAGTGTTGTTCCTCGGCTTGGCATTGTGTAAACTATCTTCAATCCAAGTCAGCCTCTCCGCTAAGGCATGTGATTTTTGTTGCCGAAGCATTTGGTAGACGTTGTTCAAGTGTTCATTGGCTCCCTACAAACCAAGATTAGCCTGCAAGAGTTAAAATTCAGAATCGTTTCTCATCCAAATATTGTAGGTAGTAGCAGAGGTTTGAATGAAGGTCCGCCTAGATAAAACAACGACTTATATCTGAGGAAAGTATGAGGTTGAGACACTACTTGATATGCCTGGAAAAAAATTTGTGGCGGGGGAATAAAGGGAATAATTGTTAAGATTTGATCACCCGTCTCTTGAGATGGAGACATAGGATTCTTTGCAGCTTCAACAATTGCAACATTGGATGGCGGAGCGAGTTTCTTTGAAAGCCGCCATTATTGACATATCTGTTGGAGGGGATTTTGAAATTGATCAAGAAATTGAGATATGCATTTTGATCAAAGGATATATAAATTTGTATCGAAGGCAATTCATTTGAATCGAGAAAAAATAGATCGTGGAGAATCGCATGAGTCATAAGACGATTCCCATAGACGATACTAATGTTCAGTATTGGAACTAGGGTTGATCAAAAAGAGTGGATTCACAGTCTGTTACCGTGGTTCGCTGTTCTCAATGCGGCCTTAAGACTCAAATAATGTTTATAGAGGTACTTACATATTATTAACCAGAAATGTCCTCACATCGGCAACAAGAGTTGAACTCATGATCTCTCGGTGTATGATTCAACTCCTTATCAACTGAGTCAACCTTCCTTGACAAATAGTTTTTATATTTGATGGACTAAAATATAAGTAAAAGCTAACTAATTTCACTTTATTTAATTTTTTTTTGGATTTGAGATAATGTGTGTGAAAGTAACGGTGAAGATGAAGAATGAGAAGATGGAAGCTGATGATTTTAAATGAGTTGTTTTATTATTTTTTTAAAAAGATTTTCTAGGTTTTTTTAATGAAGATGATGAAGAAGATGTGGGAAGAAGATGAAGATGATAAATGAAGTAGATGAAGAAATGTAAAATATATCAGGTAATGATGGTTCATCGTAAGATTTAATAGACCACTTAAAATCAATGGTGTGATATTTGTTAAAATTATCCAATGATTAAAATTCAAAACTAAAATCAAGTCTATGGTGAACACTTAACAATAGTAATTCACCTAAAACATGAAAGTTAAAAGTTAGCAGAATTCACTAAATTGACTAACGAAATAGTTTTTAAGAAATTTAAATGTAATGTTTAGTAGATAAAGGGGCTAGGGTTATGGCTAGACCCAAGAGGGGCGTCGGACGGCCGGCGAAGGTGGTGACGGTGCGCCAGAAGAAGGTGGAGATTGTCTCTGTTAATGTAGGTACTCCGGTAATTAAGGTAACTAAACCAGAAGTAACAGAAGTAGCAGCGTCGCCGTATCAAGTGGAGGCGGAAGGGTCTATGAAGGGCCAGGAGAGTGAAACGGTAAAGTCCAAACCTTGGGTGGAGGTTATTCAAGGTAACAGAATAGTGAACCGAGGTATGCCACTGGGTTATATTGCTCCCACGAAGGTGGATGGTGAGATTATCATTCAAATTGATGAGGAAGATGTAGCGGAGGAGATGGAATTTTGGGACAATGCGATAATTCTGTTTGTGCTGGGGGATAACCTCTCGATGAATGCTGTCAGGAGATTTATGGAAAGGTCTAGGAATTTTGTTGCGCTGCCGGATCTGTTCTATAATGAAGAGGGATACTTCATAGCGAGATGCAAGAATAAAGGGGACCAACAACAAATCTTGTTAATGGGGCCGTATTTCATATATGGCAAACCAATATTCTTAAAGCAATGGGGAGTAGTGACTTTGAGCTCAAGGATGATCTTCTGCGTGTCCTCCCTTTATGGGTTACCCTCCCAAACTTACCCCTGTACCTGTGGGGGGAGAAAAGTATCACCAATATAGCTAGCACTATAGGGAGGCCTATTACTACTGATGAATGTACGGCGAAGAAGCTGCGCGCCTCTTATGCTCGGGTTCTTGTAGAAGTTGATATTACATAACAACCTCTTGCTAATATTAAGATTCAGAATCATTTGGGGAAATTGGTGGAGCAACCTATCCAATACGAATGGAAGCCCAAATATTGCCACGATTGCTTGAAGATAGGACATGACTGCTCTGAGAAAAATATCGTTGGCAGTCCTAAATAAAAAGTGTGGAAACCAAGGGCCTTGTTGCCTATTATGGAAGAGCATGTTGAAGCTGATTGTCAAGAGACTGCAGTAGAGGGAGTAATGGAGTCAACCTTAATGGTTAATACGCCTGTTATGCAGCCCCCTTGGACAGTGGTGAAGAATAAAACTGGGAATCGAAGTAAGAGACAGACTGAAGCACAGGTTTCGGGTCTTGAGTTATTTAGTAATATTTTCACCCCTTTGAGGACTGGAGAATGTCTGACAGGGGAGAGTAATATCTGTCAATGATGGTTTCATGGAATGTTAGGGGAATGAATAAAGAGGCCAGGCATAAGGAGGTAGAGGCGTATATTAATAAGATGAATGTTCCTGTCGTGGCCTTGCTTGAAACTAGAGTGAAGCAGAATAAGTTTGCTCAGATTAGGCAGAAATTTGGTAATAAATGGCAGTTCGAGGATAACTACTCTCATCATAAAAATGGGAGAATTTGGTTGCTGTGGAATTGTAGGGAAGTGGAGGTGCGTATCATTAGAACTGAGGCTCAATTTATGCATGCGGAAGTTTATGGCATTGATAATATCCTCCAGTATTTTGTTACTTTCATCTTGCTTGTAACCAAAGAGAGAAGAGAAGTGAACTGTGGCAAGTTATTGAGAATCTGGGAGCGAGTATCTTTCTTCCTTGGATTGTCTTGGGAGATTTTAATAACATTCTTTCATCGAAGGATAGGTTAGGAGGCAACCAAGTCACTGAGAATGAGTTCAGGGACCTGGAGAGGATGATGCTTAGAACAAGTTTGTTTGAAGCTGCTACAACAGGGCCCCATTTTACTTGGTTCAACAATCAGATAGACTCCCCCATTTATTCCAGAATTGATCATATCCTTGGCAACACGGCATGGTTCCAAAAATACCATGAGGCGAAGTTTCTGATCCTGCAGCCACACATATCGGATCATTCCCCTATTAAAGTGGAAATCTTGAAGATTAAGAGCAGGAAAAGGTATATGTTCAAGTTCCTGAATTGTATCACTCAGGATCCAGAATATCTGCAGATTATTGGCTCTATTTGGAAGAGAGATTTGAAGGGTTCTGCAATGTATTGTCTGTGGATTAATCTGATGAAGCTGCAAAGTAATTTGAAACCTCTGATTAGGAAGAAATCTGATATACAAGTCCAAATTGACAAAGCTAGGCAAGCTCTGAAGGAGGCCCAAGAGCAGCATAACCTGTCTTTAGGGGATCGGGGGTGCATTGATGACGTCAAGAGGAAAGCAGATCAAGTCTTATACTTGTGCCAAATGGAGGAATCAATCTTAGGGCAAAAAGCCAAAATTGACTGGTTGAGGTTAGGTGATAACAACCACGCTTATTTTCATGCTGCAATTAAGGAGAAGAACAACCAGAAAAGCATATGTACATTGCAGGGGCTCGATGGTAGGGTGCTGTCCACGCAGGAAGATATAGAACTGGAGGTTATGAATTTTTATCAGAAGCTGGTAGGGTGCAGAAATAACAATCTTAAAGGTATCGACATTATGGCTGTAAGGAATGGGAGGACCATCAGCAGAGAGGCGGGTCTTGATCTGATTCAACCTGTTACTGAGGAGGAGATTAAATCTGTTTTAAATGTTATGGGTAATAACAAAGCCCCGGGTGGTGATGGATATAGTGCTGCATTCTTTAATCTGCCTGGCATATTATTGGTGGTGATGTCTGTAAAGCAATCAAGGAGTTTTTTGTGAAGTCAGTTTTATATAAACCATTCAATTGCTCTTTGGTAACACTCATTCCTAAGAACTCTGATGCGAAGTCTGTGCGTGATTTGAGGCCTATATCTTGCTGTACTATAATTTACAAAATCATTTCCAAGATTCTGGCTTGCAGATTGTGCAGGGTGTTAGATTCAATCATTGACGAATCTCAGTCTGCATTCATCCCTGGCAGGAAAATACATGACAATATATTGCTGGCACAGGAGCTAATCAGAGGCTATAACAGGAAAAATATCTCCCCGAGGTGTTTGATCCAAATGGATATTCAGAAGGCGTACGATACTGTAGACTGGATGGCATTATTCCAGATTATGCGTGAATTAGGATTTCCACAGAAGTTCGTTACCTGGGTTACTGTATGTGTTACCATAGTTTCGTATAAATTCAGTATCAATGGTATACAGTCTGCAATTCTGCCTGCTCAGCGGGGGCTTCGCCAAGGGGACCCCATCTCGCCTCTACTATTCGTGATCATCATGGAATATTTGTACCGAGTACTTCGTGGGCTGAATCAGAATCATAATTTCAACTTCCACCCGAAGTGTGGTAAATTGCGCATAATCAATATTTGTTTTACAGATGACATACTGCTATTTGCAAGGGGTGATATGGAATCCGTAAATATTGTGATGCAAACTGTCAAAGAGTTCTCAAATGCTACTGGACTGTATGTAAGTGAACAGAAGAGTAAAGTATTCTTTGGAGGGGTGGAGGAGTTGACTAAACAGGAAATCCAACTTACTACCGGCTTTGAGAGAGGTACACTTCCTTTCAAATACTTGAGTGTGCCCCTGGACAATAAGAAGTTAACCATTATTAATTGTTTGCCGCTTATTGATAGAATGCTATGTCGTATTAAGCATTGGAGTTCTAATCTGTTATCATATGCTGGTAGATTCCTCCTCGTCAAAAGCGTGTTGTTTGCTATCGCTAACTATTGGATGTAGATTTTCCCTCTTCCTAAGAAAATCATTCAGCACATTGAGGGAATTTGCATAAAGTTCCTTTGGTCAGGTAGAGTAGATAATAGCA